CTTTTCCCTACAACTTGGGATTTCTCAGCAAAATCATTCCCCACTTTGTTTTGCTTTCGTCAATTTTTGTGTAGCGCTTGACCCGATCTTTCGTACATATCTCTCACCCTGTACGAGCGTGCTGGTGTGGCATGAGAATAGGAAAAAAGAAGGGGCCAGGGGGAAGGGGGGGAGGGGGGAGGCAAAGTTCGCCCTTGGCCTCTGTTCTCCCTGGAGTATTGCTGCTGTCTGTGGAATTTTGTAAGTCGCGACTCAGCGCCGATTGAAATATTGCGGCGGCTATCCGATCTTCCGCATCACGTCTTTGTCGAGGAGGGCCAGATGGAGGGCTTCCGCTCTGTCCGGAGCACACGGGGTGCATAGAGTCCGTTGTCTGTAGTGCAGCAGCTGCATGCTGGATGCCGCGGTCTGTGCACTGCTTTCAGCACGTTGCGTATGCGTGCCGGTTTTTTTTTGGCCACCAAGTGGGATTTATTGTTAAATTTTTCCTGCGAAATTTTGCTTGCAGACTGGCGACAGTTGTGTTCAAGCATGCAGTCCGATTCGACCACGAAAAGTCTCTCAGCGGCACAGCCCCTTCAATTGACGGTTATTGTCAACGGATGCAAGGATGCAGTTATTAAAAAATTAATGGATTTGGTAGAGGTAAAGCACTCTTCCAGTACAACACTATTGTAATTGCGAGCCGCAGTGCCCACCCCTCATTCGCTACCCCCAAGGCCCGCTACCCAGGCCAAATTCAAATTTCTTGGATCAGCAACGGGGCTGTGTAATCTACCGGACCTTACCGCATTAGACATTTCATAAGCTGTCACTAAGGCCCTCGCGCTGCAGCCTCCCTCATCCGTCTATTCGGGTGATCTGCCATGACGTAATGATGTTCCGCATATGGCTTATATCATGCCTGTTATTTGTATTTACTGCTCCTCACTCCGTACATACATCACCACGTCTTTTTGGCGCACCTTCCACCAACCGCCATTAAGGCGCCCCGGAGACGACGAAGTCAAGGTAACAGTTTCATAATTAGTGTTGCGGCACAACTTCGGTGCGGAATTGAAGAATGAGCATGGGGCAGCAGGTGTTGTCCTGACCATTATGATGGGAGGTCAAAGACCTCGACATGTGTATGAGGTCAGCAGTACTAGCCGAGAGAAATAAGCCATGTGTGGCAGAAACCGCCGCGAGAGGACTTTAGCAAGCTGTTATATACAACGTTGCTGTTCCATGAATCTGAATTTGGCCTGAGCAGCGGACTTTGTATGGAAATAGCGAAGAAGTGAAGGCTGTTGGTCCCATTTACAGAATAAACGAATTTACTTAGTGGTGCGCGTACCCATTCTGACCACACGCATACTGCTATAACAAACAAAGAATGCAACAAACTGGACCAAGATTAGCACTGAACTTCATTCACAAAAAAATGAAAATCAGTGGACAGCTCGGAACTGTCTTTATCACAGTTGCTTTGTTGAAGAATCGCTCGTTACTTCGGCAAATCATTGGTGACGCGCACGGGAGGAGGGGGGGGGGGCCCGTGCGATCATGCGTTTTTGCAGTGTTTTGTGCTGTAATAAGATTACTCGAAATTCCGTTAGCTAAAAACCTCTTATACATACTGGTCCTCGAATTTCGGGAACTTAATTATCCAGCTATAGTTGGACAGGGAACATCCTCTCGAAATCCCAGGTTCCCAGCTTTCTTGGTTCCCGAGTTACCCAAATTGCAGCCAAAAAATTTCACTGGGCCGTGCGTAGCCAACACGCATAACGGGGGCTGAATTTGATAAATTGAAGTTGTAGATGAGTTGGGAACATTTTCTGAAAAATTCCAGCCTCCCAGCTTCTCTGGTTATGGAGTTATTCATTTTCCCCCAAAAACTTTCACGGGGCCGTACGTGGCAAACACGCATGGCGGGGGGCTGAATTTGGTAAATTGAAGTTGTAGATGAGTTAGGAACATTTCCTGAAAATTTCAGCCTCCCAGCTTTCTTGGTT